CAGATAAGGCGCTAGTTCTAAGAAACCAGCTTTGAGCTAACAAACCAGTATTTTGTTGGCGTCAGCGGGACGTTGACGTCCCGCTGACGCCCAGATAAGGCGCTTGTCCTAAGAAACCAGACCTTAATTGTCTCTATTTGAGATTTTTTTTTGCTTATTTCGTGCGACTCGTACTAAAAGAGTCAAATTTAAATGTAATGTTTTCTATATATCTTCTCTTACGAAAAGGGTGCTTTAAAATTGTTTATATTTGATCCACCTTCATAATTCCAACAACATACTGACGAATGTGTGTCATTTTATGGATATTTTTTTCGCATAAATTCTAAAGATTACGTTTGAAGTATAATTTTAACGAAGATTTAAAAATATTGACAAGTTTCATATATAAAACAAACACTGTAATAATCTTTATGGCAGTTATGTTATCTGTAAAGAAATTGTTAAAATGAGCCCGAGAAGGTAAATTGGTCATAACAAGGTCACAGCTGATTACTTATAATTGATTTAGGTATGATCCGGGGTTTTTGTCTAGTTTGAACAATGCTTTAATACTAGATTGCCTAGGGAAGTCATTTTGACTGCCTTTAATTTCAATTAGAAAAACAATGATGTATATAATGACACAATTTCTTAGAATTTTGTGACTTTTTCCACAACAAAATTTTTTTTTATTGTTAATAATTACTAATACTGTAAATAATATAAAAAAATGCTAAAAATTAATTTTAAACAAATTTATTTACTCATTTAAAATCCAGTAATTTTGACTGCTTTTGGGCAATAATGTACTAATTTTCCGTCTTTCTAGTGTTAATTATCTTTCTATACATTTTATATATTTAAAACAATACTAATAATCTACGAATTATTAGTATGTATTAAGTTACCATAACACTGACGGGATGATTTTAGAATACTAAAGATGCTGAAAAAATTCAGTGCAATAAGCCATGAATTTTCCTAGACGGCAGTTGTGGTTATCAAAACGGGCCCTGAAGCCAGAGTAGATCAAGATCATTGGTCAACATTGATCATTAGTATGCTAGTCTTGGCAACTAGTTTAAAGTAAACCATATTACATACTGATCACTGTTTTTACCATGTTTATAAAAATTGTGATTCAACATTCTTAGTTGTAAAAGCCAGTGTTTTTTATTGTGTTAGTATATGCTTGAACTATAGAACTAGGACAGTCCCTAGAGCAGTAAATCAGCTGTTAGCTTTTTCTGGTTATTAATGACAACAATGCGGTGAGTTTTTTCCATCCTCTCTGGTTACTGTTGGTAACCTTTTAATGAACTGAATCAATGAATTTAAAAACAGGTAATCTACAATATATTTTCATAGGAGATGACTCGTTTTTGTTTTCATTGATTCAACTAATGCACGTACCGACAATACTTGAAGGTAACTAAGTGAGTAACTATCAGCAACTGAGTTCAAGTGATGCTAGATGAAGCATCGCTATGGCAACGCACCATAAAATAGTTTGCCTTATAATAGCGTGAAATGTATCTTACCTTGATGAGAGGAAATGAACATCCTCCTGTACAGTAATGGGCATTGAAGGATTTTGGTGACATCACCCAATCACCCCAGCCTAGTTCGGCAAAATCCACCACTAAGCTTTTCCTTTGACACATATTCTTATAGTCTTTTGAATGAAGTTTACTATCATGCTTAGTCCACCAAAAGGGAAGTTTGTGTCTTCTTTTCTTTTGCTTTTTTGCTTTCCTATTTCGGTCTTTGCGTGAGTTGATGGTAGAGTTAGAAGCTTCTTTTTCTTCCACTGTTTGCAAAGTGTTTGCAGTGGCATCAGGCCCATCCTTGAAAGTTGTCGAATAAACTAGTTTATTAGAAATACTGCGCTTTGTTACATTATGCCTAACAGTCGGCATGGTTTCATTGTGTATTTCGTTTAGCGTTTTCTCATGATTTAAAATGTTTTCTAATAATACATTTACATTTGTTGATAATACTTTTAATAATCTATAAAAAATTGAATAATTTGGGGAGTCAGAGTCACCATATTGTTCTATTGTAGGAATGATAGAGTGAATCGATGAACTCAGAGAGTCATCTGCAAGATCCAGAGTATACTTATTCCCCATTTTCCTATGTA